CGTTTTTTCAACATAGATTTGTTGTTGTATTACAACATATATAGAATGATATTATGAAACGCCTCCCATATAGCGTCCGGAAAAAAATCCCCGAATTAAAAACAAAATGATGAAAACACTATCGACTCGAAAATTTAAAAAGATTCAATAATATTAAAAAAATGAGACAAACGGTCATTTGTCAGTGGATCACAATTTTAGTTTCTTTTTATTCTCTTTTGTTTGTAATTTTCTTAAATCTACGTTGTTATAATCAAACATAGCAGCACCGAAAATATATTCACTACAACACACTAATATATTATGTTGTTTACTCACATAAACGCTTATCTTCTTTTTAACGAAGTATTGCTTTGTGTCCGCTGAAGTGATGAATTAAACATATGTTGGCTGAAATGAAATCGTATGTCATTGATAAAGACAATCTCTCGCCTAATTTGCAATGGGAAGGAAACATATTGAATTTTCGTATTTATTACACATTTTGATTTCTAACGATATTTCTGTGGTTTATTAATACCATTTAACAAAGTTCACATTTCATTCTTTCTTCAATCGCAAGACTCAAATTTATTTCAGTTCATACAAAAGAAGATGAAGATGTTCAAAAAAAAAATGAACTAGTTGACTTTCCACATAGTAATCTCGGAAACAATCTCTAAAAAAACCCAAAGTTGTTCTTAATAAAAATGATTACATGCGTCAAATCACAATAAACGTCATTGTTTTGACGCACTTTGTTTAAGAAAAAACGTAAACAATTCTTCGAACTTAATGCATTATATTTTAAAATACCCCATCGTGTCGTCATTCTCATTTGGGTTTATGGTGTGTGCGAACGAATTCTGCGTGGATGGGGTCACTGTGAAGATCAAAGACGAAAACATTGAAAGAGAATTACTTAACGTTCTCCATGTGAAACGTTCTAAAGAAGACCATATACACGCGATTGGAACCAGTTACACATTTAACAATTATTATCATGGCTAATATACACACGCAAATGTCACAAAAACGCACATATACTAATGAAATAATTTAAATTCGGCTAAGGCAATCGGTTCGAAAATACATTCGTCAGTAAACTTTTGAACTGAACAGAGTGATTTTATTTAACTGTGTATTCAGAATTCTTGACTCCAAATCGGTGTATCAAAATCGTTATCTTCATTTTGTGTCAAATGTTTTCGATTTCATTCGTTTTATTTTACATACCAAAAGTAAATTGAATCTCATATAATTTGGTGAATAGAATATTCAAATTGATCAAACAAAGAGATTTTTTTTAGTTTTCCATATAAAAACAACATCGAAGTGCATTTTACTAAGATAAATAGTGTAGAATTGTGATTTTCGTTTAAAATTTCCGTCGTTTTATTTTTCAACGCTTATCTATTCCGTTTCAAAACACAATGGCTGATCAATCTCCTCCTACATGGAACGAATTGTACGATCGAGTACCATATCGGTTCATAAAATTCCACTACATATCTGATTTTGAATTGAATGTACGCGCATTAAATCCCCGATGTGTGAATATAACAAATTTTAATCAGCATTTGGATGAATTTATGTTAAATTCAACAAAAAACCATCAAAATGCTTTCACAATGAAGTATTTGATTGAAGATTTGAATAACATGATATCATCATCACCCGAGAAGTTTTATCAGAAAATGAATGCTTTGTTTGATGTTGAACGGAATATGTATAAACAGGGCACTCTCACACTAACACAAATCGATACGGATATTCTTTGGCTGCTCTTACAAAGCAAATCTAATAAAACGGCTGTTGAACGATATAAAGTCTATTATGATTCGTATAATTCGTGTAATATGCCAGAATTGGGTAATTGCATCCAAGTGCTCAGTATGGAAATCGTTGCTTCAATCAACAATGTCGTTAAATTGATGAATATTATATTACAAAAGATTCAGGCGCATCGCGATCACTTGAATCAATCGAAACGGGAACAAGTTTGGTCAGGTGAGACTAGAAAACGCTTTGCCGAAATTCAAGTGTGGTTTGACGAAGTAGCTACAATTATTGATGATACGCTTGAAACGATACAAACAATGCGAATTTATGATAAATTGTGCTGCGTTAATGAAAACAAACTAGTCATTGATACATTTAAAAGGTTAATCAAATTGACCTTAGTTTTGGAGATGGAACCAACAGAAATTGTGAAGACAGAGACTTTGTGAGTGTTTTTGCCCTTTTTGCACACGCTTCATTTTTAATCAAATTAATAAAAATACTTTTTCATAGCACGACGTGCATCATACGATTGCTTTGTAGCAATTCGACCTTGCAAAATGCGAAATTCAATATCAATATCAAGGATTTGAACGTTTCGATTTTATCAGGTTTGTTTTTGTTTTTCAAAGTTTGAAAGAATGTTTTGAATCGAAGGCTTATAAAATCAATTATCAGCCAAAATTCTTATATATTTCGTCAAATTTTTCAATAATTTTCTATATCAAGTTTTCATAAGTTTTTCTTTTTGTTCCATGCATTTCGCGGACTAAAAGAAGAAGGAATTGATGTCGGCAAAGTATCGTTGCGAAACTTCAAACCCGAAAGGACTGGTCATGATTTTTATTATCATTTAAAAACCCTAAAAGTGGACAAAGTGAGGCGATCGAGATCCGAGCATGGTTTTATTGAGAACAAATACACTTTAATATTTGATCTTAAAATTGAAGTTGATAAAAAAGAAATCAATGTGAGTAAATTAATGTTCGAATGACGACGTTTTTTAAAATTGATTTTTTCCACATTGTTTTTCTTCAGGCATCGGTGATGTCTTGGCCAGTTTTGGTCATAGTGCATCACACTCAAGAGGCGTTGGCTAGAGCGGCTTTGATGTGGGACAAACATTTGACTGGTGTTGACCGATCTTCAGAAGCATCAGTACCATGGTCGGAAATGCGTAATGTTTTAAGAATATATTTCAAGAATGTAACCGGATTTGAATTAAAAGATCGACAATTGGACGCATTATGTGAGTGTCACGCATGAAATTAGATATACGCCATACATGCTTCAAATACCTTAGATGATAAGTGTCACGAAACCGGCCATTTTTACCTAATTGGGGGCCAAGGAATTCAGTGGTGACAGTCGTTTTTGGGTTGGTTCATGACATTATACAACAATTTCTTTAAACAAAGCTTCGACATTTGATGGTATTATACTTCCTTAATAATAACACCGAATATGTCATATATTTTTGGATGAAATTAAGTTTCGGGGCACTTTTCATACGAAAAT